GAGGTTTTTCAATAAATTGTATAAAAGAAAACAACTATTAATAATAACTAATATGGGAAAAAAAATGATGGATGATAAAATTAATAAAACAAAAAGGAAAAACAGAAAGAAAAAATATTCAATAATAAAAAATAAGGCAATAAAAATACAAAAGAACATTTATGGTTAGTAGATTCTGTAGAAAATCAAAACATGAAGATAAAAGAAGAACCAACTATTGCAGCAAAAGAAGATATGAAAAATAAAGCCAAGGATAAAGCCCTTGAACAGATGAAACAAATAGGCAAGACAAACCTCTGCATGGCCAAATTTTCCAGAACGTAAAATAAACCCAATGTTGATAAATAATAATCATCGATGGTTATAATCTGGATTAAAGTCTGAAACTGAAGGCTTTATTCTTGCAGCGCAAGACCAGAGTCTTTTCACTAAAATTTTCAGGCAAATATCATACATAATAATGTGGATCCAAAATGCAGGTTCTGTGACAAATACCAAGAAACAATAGACCATCTAATCTCAGGATGTTCTATATTGCCCCAAATGAATATAAAAATCGTCACGATAGAGTGGGGCAATACTTACACTGGACAATGTGCAAACACTTTGGAAAATGTGTAAGCAAACACTGGTATGAACATCGGCCAGCGCCGGTTACAGAAATAGAAGATGTCACCATTCTATGGGATTATACCATCCACACAGACAGAAAAATTGAAGCAAATAGGCCGGACATTATTGTCAAAAAAAGAAAAAAAAAACTTGCCTACTAATTGATATGGCTTGTCCAGGGATTGTAACATAGAACCAAGGAATTTGAAAAAACTATCAAAATACAAAGACCTGGAAATTGAAATAGAAAAAATGTGGAAATTGAAAAATAAGAATAATACCAGTGGTAATAGGTGCAATTGGAATTATAAAAAATGGAACAAAACAACACATTGAAAGAATCCTGAAACCCCAGCTTAAGAGACATACAGAAAATTGTCTTATTAAGTACAGCACACACACTAAGGAGAACTTTGTCTATGTAACGCTAGCAACTTCATCGGAGATAAAAAAAAAAAAAAAAAAAAAAATTAACATGAAATGTGGCCATAACAACACACCACGACCTGCCTTAGGTCTTTCCGCAGACTTGGTAGGTAGTGTGTCCAAAGGCAGAAATCGAATGATAATAATAATAATAATAATAATAATAATGGGAAGAAGAAGATGATGGTGAATAGGATGGAGAAGTAGAAAATGAAGAAGATGAAGGAAAAAGAAGAAGGAAAAGGCAGAGGGAATAATAATAATAATAATAATAATAATAATAATAATGAAGAAGAAGATGATGGTGAATAGGATGGAGAAGTAGAAAAGAAAAGATGAAAAGAAGATGAAGATAAAGAAGAAGGAAAAGGCAGATAATAATAATAATAATAATAATAATAATAATAATAATAATAAGAAGAAGATGATGGTGAATAGGATGGAGAAGTAGAAAATGAAGAAGATGAGGATAAAGAAGAAGGAAAAGGCAGAGGGAATAATAATAATAATAATAATAATAATAATAATAATATGGTGAATAAGAAGTAGAAAATGAAGATGAGGAAAAGAAGAAGGAAAAAGGCAGAGATGAATAATAATAATAATAATAATAATAAGAAGAAGATGAATAGGATGGAGAAAAAGAAAATGAAGAAGATGAGGATAAAGAAGAAAAAAGAAGAGGTGAATAATAATAATAATAATAATAATAATAATAATAATAATAATAATAATAATAATAATTTGTTATTAATATTTATTTTTTACTCTTTCCTGCTATTTTTATTTCATTTTTCTAAATTTCAATATGTTTATTGTCTAAAAAAACAAAAAACAAAACAAAAACGTGTCTTCTTATTTCTGATAATAATGATTCTCTTTCTTTCTTTCTTTCTTGCCGTTTCGTTGATCCACTCCATCAAAATTTGCGAAGGACGTCTATCTCTTCCTTGTTTGCTAAGCCGAAATTTCGATTAACGCCATAATTCAAGGAAAATGCCTATTAACGGCTGTAGGAAACACTGACGGAAGGAACCCCAACAGTGATATTTTGTAAGGGGAAGAAAAAGACGCCATTTTGTTGTTTCATTTTTTATCAACCATCCCGGTAAATTTCCTGTTAGACGCAGCGAAAGCAGACTTTAACTTAAAAAAAATTAATTTTTATAATTAAAAATTTAAACTGATTGGTTTGATAATGAAGCAACATTGTTTAAAACCGGAATATTAGTCAAATTCAAAGAGGGGAAAAATGCAAAGAAAACCGATGCCATTTACGTTGAAAACACCTGAAGTTTTCATTGGATCCATATTTGCGCTTTTGTCAAGGTTTGTAAATAAATTACTGATCTGACCGTCTTTTTATAACAATACGCACATCTAGATTGTATTCGATCCGAAATTTTATTTTACGAATAGGAAAAAAAACTCAATGACTGAAAAGATTATAAAAAATGTCATGAGAAAATTATCCTTTTAACGATGTGATAAGTGCATGCAGGATATTTAGGATTGAAACCCCAACTTTGTGAAAAGAAATTACTTTAGCGAGAAAGTTGTCAAAGCATGTGATAGTTGTACCCGATTATGAAAATTTTCCCGGACATTGTGAACAGTATTAGGACGAATTAGCTTTGGTCTGCTGCTGATCAACCGCGTTTATTCACTGTCACTAAGAACCTCTCAGAATAATTGCCTGAGCAGGCAAAAATAGTTTTGACAGAAAATAATTTAGATAAATACAAAAATAGAAAAAGGAAATAAGACAAGGATTATCTTCTCACCGGATTTATTCAACCTATAGAGCGTTTATTCAACTTGAGAGAACTAGAAGTACTATCAGGGTTTATTATTGGCGGCATGCATCTTAACAATATAAGATATGCGGTGCTGATATTCATAATGAAAGATGAAAATTTAATAAGAAGAAGCGAATGAAAGTCATAACAGAAAAGATAAGAAAAACTACGAGAAGACGTAATAATGCATGGATATAAACAAAATATCCAGCCCAAAATGCAAATTAAAAATCAGGGATAGTTAAATCAAGCATTATAGAAATTTTAAATATCTGGGAAGTGTTTTTATTAAGATCCATTGAAAAGCAAACACTGAGATCTTAAGACGTATTTTTGCCTTGAGTTTTTTTTTTGTTTACTTAATGAATGCAATTACATTCATATATGCATCAGACATGCACATGCAGGTCGACTTGCACCCACTTATAATTATATATTTATATATTATAAGTGGAGTAATGGCTAGACATTTTCGGATTGAGGAGTTTAAAGGCCGAGTTCGAATTCAATTCTTTTCCAATATGTGCTAAAAAATTATGGATCCTTTTTGTTATATCCCCAAACCAACCCCACCCCAGGCCCCAGGGTAAATAATAGGACAGATCAGGAAGGCAAACGTTTGAAAAAATGACAACCTACTTTTGGAAAAAAATCCACAATATTGGTAAAAAAAAAAAACAAAAAAAACTATGTCGTTGGACAGTGGCTTAGATAGAGGAATCCTTTTATCTCGAAATCTGTTGTGGGTTCAACGTTCATTTACGTGCAAATACCCTTGGAAAAGGCATGCATCCATCTCTTATTCCTCCCACCCCATATCTATAAATAAATAGCAGGGTAGTCTGAGTGCTATAGCCATTGTGTGATTCAACCTTCTTTCAAAAAAACAAATCTGAAACCAAAAACTTTTCAAATTTACAAAATAACCTTTTTTAATCCCATAAAAATTTATAAAGAAACAAAGAAAAGAATACGGCAGTGAATGATGGACAATCTCCTCAAAGATGAATCGGTATTATTCTAAAAAAAAAAAAACTATGTGGCTGTGCCTTGATATAGGAATCAGAGTCGAATTTGTTCGGGTTCAAATGTTCATTTAAAAAAATAAAACACACTGCAAAAGGCATGAATCCATCTTTATTCCCAACAAACGCAAACAAGTACAAAAATTTATATACTTGTGAAGTGCTCTAACAGACTAAATCCAATTATTTATCCTTTCTTAGAAAACGCACTTGGGATGGCCAAAGATGCATTCCAAAAACAATTTTGATGAGTATTAAGACCACAGAAAAAAGTTCATTAGAAGTGTAGGAAAGAGCAATGACATATAATATCAGCTCTGAACAATTTAAGTTTACTGGACGATCTCCTCAAAGATGAAAACAAGAAGCAAGAGAAATGTGGTTCTACAAAAGGATGCTAAGGATAACTCATATGTCCCGGAAAGGGATGTATTTGTTTGAAGTTGACTACTGTAACCGGTTAGGACAATCTAGCAGGTAACCGTAATGGACTGGTCCTCGTCGTAGTGGTAGGCAATAGGCGAACACAATAGGTGAAGACAATAGGCGTCGTCAATAGGCGTCCTCCATATCAGTCTGTATTTATGGCTGGCACCAGCCAATCATATTACTGTGAGAGGGGACCCAGGTGTATGCATATTCATTACCTCACATTGACACTGACATTGACCGGTCATGTGAGCAAGAACAAAGTTTGAGAGAAAACGGAAGCAGAAACGAAACATATCTAACATCAGGAATAAACAGTTAAAATATCTAAGGCCCATGATGAGAAAAAAGGCTTGGTAAATCTAATACTCACAGGACAGATAGAAAGCAAGAGGGATAGAAAAAAAGAACGCATAACCTACTTAGTGAGCTTCAGTAAATGAATGGTGGAACAAGCTTTATGAGAGATAGCAAAAAGGTAAAATTTTATTAAGAGCTACGAATGACAGGAAACTTTATATTTTTCCATGACCGGCAACGCCCTGAAGGGACACGGCACATAGAAGACGAATATTCAGATTCAGAAAGACAAATGTTCAGTTGAAACTGTGAGAAATAGCTGAATAATATTCATTAATTAAGTGCATTAACAAGGAATAAAAATACGTAGATTTATAAATATTCTTTTTTTAATTATCAGGTTACGGATTTATTGATGCAGCAGTAAAGAAGAGCGAAATGAGACTGAGTAGGAGAGTGAGAGACAGTGAGGTGGAGTGAAAGACAGTGATAAAGAGTGAGAGTCAATGAGAGAGAGGGAAAAACTGTAAGGAGGGTGTGAGAGACAGTGGGAGATAGTGATAGGGAGTGAGAGAAAACGAGGGAGAGTATGAGACAGTGAGGTGGAGAGACAGACAGTGAGGGAGAATGAGAGACAGTGAAGGGAATTGAAAGACAGTGAGATGAAGTGAGAGACAGTGATAGTGAGTGAGAGACAGCGAGAAACAGTGGAGAGTGAGAGACAGGGAGGGAGAGAGAGAAACTGTAAGGGGAGTGAGAGACAGTGATAGATAGTGAAAGGGGGTGAGAGATAGTGATAGGGAGTAGAAGAAAATGAGGGAGAGTAAGAGGCAGCGAGGTGGAGTGACACAGTGAAAGAGAGGGAGAGAGAGACAGTAATAGGAATTGAGAGACCACTTACAGAGGTGGAGTGAGAAACGGTGAGGTGGAGTGGGAGACAGTGATAATGAGCGACATAGAGAGATAATAAAAAAGCGTGAGAGTCAGTGAGGGAGGGGAAAACTGGAAGGAGGAGTGAGAGACAGTGAGAGATAGTGATAGGGAGTGAGAGACAGCGAGAGAGTAAGAGACAGTGAGGCTATTGGAGGACAGAGAGAGAGACGAAGAGAGGATAATTAGTTTAGAGACAATTTGAGATTTTGATGGAGCGTGAGATGTGTTTGAGGGGAGAGGGAGAAACTGGAAGGAGGGGAGGTGATACAGTTTGGATTTTTAGTGAGAGACAGTTTTTTTGAGAGAGAGAGTTTAGGTGGAGTTTGACAGTGAGGGGAATTGAGAGACAGTGGGATGGAGGGAGAGACATTAATATGGAAGGAGAAACAGTGAGGTGGATTGGGAGACAGTGATCGTGCATGAGAGACAGAAAGAGACAGTGATGGAGAGTTAGAGTCAATGAGGGAGAGGATGAGATTGTAGAGGGTGATAGGGAGTCAGAAACAGTGAAGTGGAGAGTCAGAAACTGGGAGGGAAATTGAGAGATGGAGTGAGTGAGAGTGAGGTGGAGTGAGAGATAGAGAGAGACAGGTAGTGGAGAGTGAGAGTTAGTGAGAGAGAATTAAAAACAGTAAGTGCGATTGAGAGATAGTAAGAGACAGTGAGGGTTATTGAGAGACAGTGATCGGTAAAGCGAGAGACTGAAAGACAGTGATGGAGTGTGAGGGTACAGTTCGAGAGAGTGAGAAACAGAGAGTTGAGGGTGAGTGAGAGCCAGTGAGGAGAAGTGAGAGACAATAAGAGGCAGGTAGGGCGAATGAGAGGCAGGGAGCAAGTCGAGGATTGACCGAAAGACTGGTGCTAGGTCTATGCTGAAACTGCCTTGTCGGCAAATTCCCAGCCTTGACAGAGTTCAAAAGTGTTTATGCAGACTTGTAAATGAGGAATTGTTTCCACTCTAAAACCCCTATACCACAGACAAAACGCCACAAGATCCTCGTCACTATATCGCTGTTTCCGTGGTAAATGATCTGATGAGACACATTCCTTCGTTCCACTAGCTTAGAACTTCAGAGCATCCATGCCATATGATTGAATCATCCCCATTTCCTTCATATCTCGTTAGTAAGAAAGAAACAGTTTCTTCCCAAGCATGAAAAAATCACACTGTCGCTAGTGGATAAAGGCGTTGGTTAGATCAGTGACAGGACCCAAAGAGTGTGAGTTCAATACCTGCTTAAGGCGATGGAGAACTAATTAACAGGAGATAACTGATAACTGACATCCATTAGACATGGCACGTGGAACTAGAACAGTCTACCCCAGTGGGCGAGATAATGATTTCAGTTCGACATTCCACCCACCTGAAGAAGGCCGGAGCGTACAACGGCCGAATCGTTGTAATAAATAAGGTGAGAAAGATGAGGACAATTGTCCGAATAATGTAAATACTGAGCTGATATTCTGTTTTGTGGAGTCGATTCGGTATTTAACACCAGGTGCACACACCTGTAGAATTCTTTTTTTATATTCTCTTTCATTTGTGTATGTTGTATTTGACAAAGATGAGAACAATAGTCCGAATAATGTAAATAGTATATATAATACTTCATCTCAGAAATATAGATAGAATAACAGCTATAAACACTGTGGCTTACCCTGGGGTACAATACAGTTTCAACACCCTTAATTGGACCAAAGCAGGTATTAATCGAATGGATATCTAGACGAGAAAGCTTTTTACTTGCCACCGCATGCATCATTCTAAAGCTGATGTTTATCGTCTGTATGTGCCCAGATCCGGAAGAGGCAGAGGATTAGTTCAACTAGAACTGTCTTGCAAAACCACAACATTCGGTTTTCAACAATACCTGGAAACTACAAAAGACTAGATGATGATTCTGTGTCGAAGAGCATGAAATAAGAAACTTTATTCAGTAATAAAGGAAGCCAACAAATTCAAAAGGGGATTTCAAGAGGGGAAAGAAGTGCAAGCAAACCATAATGCACCTACTGCAGTGGCAAAGAACCTGAAAAAAGAAAGCAAAAGCAACAGCAAATGCAATGTACCAAATGCAGAAACTATGGCAAGATAAACCTCTTCATGGTCAATACTCTTTCCGAATCAAACAAGCTGATGTAGACAAACCACGTACCCGTCAGTGGTTACATAGTCAAGGGTTAAAAGCTGAAACCGAAGGTTTTATTCTTGCTGCACTGGACCAATCTTTGCTAACTAGAAATTACCACGTTCACATACGGAAAGATTGTGTTAGCCCGAAATACATGTTCTGTGATAAATATCCAGATACAATTGGTAGGAACACCATCCAGACCCGGTTACAGAGATAGGACCTGTAGTAATTTTATGGGATTTTTCTTTCTTTCTTTCTTTTTTTCTTTTTTTCTTTCTTTCTTTCTATTACTGAAACCAAATAGTATCTCTTCTTCTCTTTCTACGCGATCAAAATGGCATAGTCCATTATTTATGGGCTATTAGCAGGAGCCGTTGAACACTTTCTTTCTTTCTTTCTTTCTTGCTTTCTTAAACCAAGTAGTGTCTTTTCCCTCTTTCCACACGATCAAAATGGAATAGTCCCTTATTTATGAGGTAATATCAAATAAACGTAATGGCCATTAACGAAGGGATGCACAAGCATAATTATAATAGGGTAATAATAATAACATATGTGCTAACTATCTAAATAAGGAACCATGGTGCAAGCAGAATAAGAATATGTTAAATTCCTGGCCAAATCTCTTGTATTAGCTCAGAGCGTTTTTATAATAATTCTTTGCGATCAAGTGACCGGCTTCAAATCATTTATGAACGACTTTTTGAAGCCGTTCGTCGCTGTAGAAAATATAACATTTGTCTACTTGTAAAATAAGTTGCTCCGAGGCTTACAAACACCGAAAACCACACAATCATCTGAGTTAGGTTTCCAACAGGGACTTGATTTTTCTCTTAAGCGGGTCATAACGATTCATTATGGAACAAATCCTCGAGACGTTTTCCCCATTTTAGCTTCATCCGACGCATATGCCTAAGGCAAAGACAGGGACATTAGTGAACCTAAAAGCAGAAGTTGGAAATTGTCAAGACCGGCTTTAGAATTGGATGGAATGTTTGCTGTAATGGCAAAAAAAAAAAAAAGAACTAGTGATCGCTCGCCATGAAGTGTGGACTCTTGAATCAGGGAGAAAATGATGAACGCTTTGTAATTTATGCCAGTGTTTTCTCTGATGAAGAATTATCATTATTGTATGCCTTCCCCAATATAATCACCTTGCTTGTAAGATTCACAACATGTCGGCTGTTATACACTGTAACGGGTGTCTTCCGTTTCTAGCGAAGTTGTTTGTTGAAGATGGATCTTTTCTTGTATTAATTTCACCCAACATATTTTTTATTACTTTAAGGATTGTTTTTAGCGGCTACCCGTATTTGAGTAAAGGGCCAATTTATTTTGTGAATCTTCTTACAAAGAGGGGAGTATTTTCGAATCCTGCCGGGGGACACATTTTCTTTAAATGTTCTCGCGTACGCAGGCCAGTAGACGAAATAAATACAGTGTAAAATAAACGGAGCCTCTACTTAAATACGGGTATCTACTAAGAATAAAGTTTTAAGTAATATACTGGGTGGCAATACAGTTACTTATGACAAAGAAACAAAGCATTAAAGCAGGTTGATTACAATTCGAACTGTATCGGTAATTAATTTGATATTGTTTACCATAGCATTTTATTGTTATTAACCAGAAAATTACCAGGACATTTTAATAATACATTTTTGGACTGTTGATTAATTGCTTTGTTTAATTGTTGTTTTAAAGTAACTGTTTATATATATATATATATATATATATATATATATATATATATATATATATATAAAAAATAAATAAATCTCCATAGACACTTAATGGTTAACCAAACTAGACGATGTCATCTTCCGCTTTAAATTTAGACACCCCACCCTACCTTAACTTGACCTCTTTGAATGTAACTGAGATATTGATACAAATTATTAACCCTTACGCCCCTTTTCTTTAAACAATTGCTCTAACCGTTACCATAGTAATTTTAATTTTAAGAATGAATATGCTTATAAAAACGTGTAAATTTCAAGAATTAGTCATTTCAAAAATGTCGCTTGAAGATGGAACAGAGCTTGGTACTTTAATTCAATTTAATTCAAATAATTATATTGAAGTTTTTGGCTCTTGTTTTGAAAACATGAGAACTCTTATGTAGCAAAAAATAATCATATTTTAAATAAATAATTATATATATATATATATATATATATATATATATATATATATATATATACAATTAAATTAAACAAAAAGATCTTTCAGAAATAGCTACACAATAGCATCTTTCACACACTTTGAAACATCCATATAAGAGGCATAAATATTGAAACACGAAAACTATTATGTATATATTCAACGTGCTTAATATATATTTATAATAAAATAATTGGGATGGTATATAATTATCAGGCGTTTTTAAACAATATTTATTATAAAAAAATCATAACAATTTAATAATAACATTTTAAATGATTATTTTTTTTTTATGATTATCGACACGCATTTTTATGACCTGAAAATAAAATAAGATTTTTTATATTTTAAATAACGCAGCAAATTTTTATTAACAAATAAAATACCTAGAAAAACGCCTGATAATTATGCACCAACCTAATATATTGCTCTACTTTGGAATTTCACTGCCTCTGTTCTTTCTCTCATTTCCTTATATTTATCCAATTCCATTATTTCTCCTTTTCAGTTTTTTCCCTTTTTCTTTTTCTTTTAATTTTTCGTCTTTCCATTTCTCCTTTCTTGATTCTTTAAAGTTTAAAATTGTTAAGCTACCTTTTTATTTTATTTCCTAACACCTTGGTGCTGACAAATGCTGCAAGGTAGTTCTTGTGGGGTGAAATAGCTATACAAATTGGGTATTTTTGAATTTCTCTTACATGTAATATATATATATATATATATATATATATATATATATATATATATATATATATATATGAAATAAGAACAAATGTATCATATTTCTACTGTCTGTGGCATTTAATTTAAAAAAGGGCTCAATACTTAGTAGAGCTTAATATTATTTATTATATGAGATTAAAACAAAAAAAATGTTAAAATTCCTGCAAAATAGCTTTAATGTTTCAACAACTCAAATTGTACCTGATTCAGGTTAAATAACTAGAAAGTATATATATATATATATATATATATATATATAAGTTATTCTGTGTGTATGTGTAACACATGCACATTTCAATAAACGGATACGGATTTGCACCAAAATTTCATGCAAATGCTATCCAAAGAGTGTGAAGGCCAAGACCGAAGTTTGCATGTCCCAACTTTAATCGAATATTGG